CTGTAGACCCCCCAGGATCAAATGTAAAGTGCACTCTGGGGGTAGCTAGGTGGCACAGCAGATAGAGCTCTGGCCTTGGAGTCAGGAGGACCTGAGTTCAAATCCGGCTTCAGACACTTAACACTTACTAGCTGTGTGACCCTCGGCAAGTCACTTAACCCGATTGCCTCACCAAAAAGTAAAGTGCTCTCTGTTTGCCTTTTAAAGTTCTTCATAACCTTGTCCCCTCCTACTTTCCCAATCTTTCTACACCTTACCCCTCCTTGCTTTTCCTCTTACAAGACACTCCATCTTTGAACTCAGGGCATTTCCACTGGCTGTCCCCCGTTCCTGGAACTCTCTCCCTCCTTATGCCCACCTCCTCTATTGCCTGGCTTCCTTCAAGTCTCAGCTAAAGTCCCACCTTCTGCAAGAAGCTTCTCCCAGTCATCCTTAATCCTAGTGCCTTTTCTCCGACACTGTCCTTACTTTATCTTATTGTACATAGTTGTTTGCATGTTGTCTTCCTCATTAGAGTGTGAGTTCTTTAGAGCAAGGGCTGCTTTTTGGCTTTCTTTGTACTCCTCACGCTTCCCACAATGACTGGCACATAGTAGGCTCTTAATTACTAAAATTCCATAATAAAAACTAGTGTGACATTTAAGAAGTTTTGAGACATATTTCTGGGTAATTTGATAATTTTTATTAATAAAAAGATGGTCATTTGGTTGTCTCTTAGACCAAGGTCAGTCATGGCAGCAGGCTCACAGCTTATAATATGATCATTGGAAGAGGGGTGTTTTAGAGGGTAGTAATCAACTTTGATTAGTTAACAATTAATGAGAGAATAAACATTACAATGAAGACCTCGACTTGAATTCCGGGACTGTTTTTTGTATCTGTATCCCCAGTGCCTACTACAATGCCTAGCACACAGCCATCACTAAATAAATGCTTGTTTGTCGATCAATTCAATGCTTGAACAGAATTGTTACAGGAAGTACTGACCTGAATAGTTGTTGGAGAGGATTTTTCTAAGGAAAGAGTGCCTTCTAGGGGAACTAGGTGAAATAGCAAGTGTTGCACCCAAAGGATCTAAACTTGAAACCGTTTACTTTACTTAAATAGCCAAATAATGCAAGATAAAGCTGTGGAAATGATTTCATTTTCATAGGCTCAGAGATTTAGAACTAGGAAGAATCTTAGAAGCTCTCCAGTCCAACCTCTTCTTCACAGAAAAGGAAACACAGGTCACAGGATCATAACAGTATAGATTTAGAACTAGAAAAGACCTTGGGGTCATCCAGTCCACTACCTCCCCTCTCATTTTATAGCTGAGGAAACTGAGGGTCAGAGGCATTAAGTGACATTTCCAAGGTCACACAGCTTGTGACAGAGCCAGGATTTGAACCAAGATCCTCTGACGCCAACTCCAGCCTTTTTTTTGCTTTACCTTTGTTTTATTGTTTCTTGAAATAATTCCACCTGCCCAATTACAATTTTTAAGGAACTATTTTCTTCAGTGAGTTTTTGTACCTTCTTTTCCACTTACCCAATTATAAAGAATTATTTTCTTCAGAGAGTTTTTATACCTTCTTTTCCATTTGGCCAGTTCTACTCTTTAAGCTGTTTTCTTTAATGAATTTTTTTTATATCTTTTTCTATTTTTATACTTCTTTTACTAAGCTATTGTCTTTTTTCATGGTTCCCTTGCATCATTCTCATTTCTTTTCCCAATTTTTCCTTTACCTCTCTTATCTGATTTTAAAAATTCTTTTTCAGTTCTTCCAGTAAATCTTTCTGGGTCTGAGACCAATTCAATTTTTCTTTGAGGCTTTGTATGTAGTCATGTTGACACTGTTGTACTCTTTGAGTTTGTGTTTTGATCTTCCCTGTCACTTTTTTCGGGGGGGGGGGGTAAGGCAGTCAGGGTTAAGTGACTTGTCCAAGGTCACACAGCTAGTAAATATCAAGTGTCTGAGGCTGGATTTTAATTCTGGTCCTCCTGACTCCCAGGGCCCTTACTCATTCCACTGCACCACCTAGCTGTCCCCCGTAGTAACTTTCTATAGTCAGATTTTATTTTTTGTTGTTTATTCATTTTCCAGCCTATTTCTTTACTTTTAACTCTGTTAAAGTTGGGCTCTGCTGCTGGGGTGGACAGGGCACTGTCCCAAACTTCAGTTTTTTTGTTCTGTTGTTTTCAGAGCTAGTTCTGAGGGTTTGTAAGTTTTCAGTTCTTTGGAGGTCGTACAATCTAAAGAGAGGTCTGGCCACTGCTCTCCTGGCCTGTGCTCTGTTCTGTGAGTAACCACAAGCACTGTTTTCTGCCCTGGAATTGTGACCAGGATTCGCACTTTTCTGCTGCCAGGAGCTCTAGTGTACTTTGCTTCTCTTCACCCTGGGACAACTGGGATCCCTATGTGGGCAACGCAATAGAGGCCTGCACTCAGTGCCAATTAAGGGTCCTTTGTAATATCCTCCTACCCAGTTGTTCGACCTTCTTACTATCTGTGGTCTGAAAGCTGCTGCCAAAGATTCAGTTGCCCCCAAGGCCTGCTGCTAGCTTGACCCAGGGCTCTGGCCTTGCTGCTGGCACGCCAGGTGAGGGTGCCCAGGACGGTGTTTCCCCTCTTACCTCAGTGAGACAGCCCTTTCCTGCCAACCTTCTAAATTTTCTTGGGCAGTAAAATTGTTTCACTCTGTCCTTTTGTCAGTTCTGCTGCTCCAAAATTCTTCTTGAGGCTTTATTTTTAAGTCGTCCAGAAGAGAATTTGGGAGAAGTTGGACAAGGCTTTGCCTTTACCCCCTGCTTCATCTTTGAAGCTTGGAATCTACAAGCTCTTTTTTTTCCCCCTTAAATAGTATTTTATTTTTTTCCAATTATATATAAGGACAATTTTAAACATTTATTTTTATTAAAATTCTGAGTTATAAATTTTCTCCCTGGAATCTGTAAGCTCTTAGCAGAAGACTTGAGAGGAACATTTTTTAATGATGTACTTCCAACAAAGTTGGGAATAAGGGCACTATTTCTCACACACAAGTAAATAGTTGGTTAGCCAATTTATTGCTGAATCCCCTTCTGAGGACAACAAGCAAATTCATCCCCAGACTGTAATATGCCCACATGTACTTTGTAAACTTTGGTCTGAAGTCCTCCAGAATACATGACAGCTTAAAATATTAGTTTTCCTAGGTGAATTTACATTTTTAAAAGTATCAAAAAATTCATTAGAAAATCATGTGTCAGTGGATGGTTAAGGATATCTCATCCCAGTTGGGAGCCTCTATTATCTCATGAATTCTTTGATTCAACCTATTCTAAAATGAAACATCCCCATTTTCTCCTTCCATTTCCATTATTGATACACAATCAATTTATTTCACCTTAATACTTTTTACAATATAATCAAACTCCTTTAAATTATCTAGGACTTAGCTGGAATTTTTGCTGAAAGGTAATAATTGCATAGTCACTATTCTGATTTCATCATTCAAAGAAACTGATGTTTGAAGTGATAAAAAAAACTGATTACTTTTTTTTCTACATATATCTTGCTGTTTCCTGCTGCTAATAGGAATTTCTTAGAGTCATAAAGCTGCTATGCTTTCTCCAACTTCATACCTAGCCAATATCGGGAAAGTATTTAACATTTCTTTTAACAACAAAAGATTAGTATCACAGGGCTTAAAGCAGGAAGAGCCCTTCAATGATAATTAGCAAACTCTTCCAGTTGCGTGACTAAGCAATCTTAGATTCTTTTTCTACTGCTTAAGAACTTGAAAGACATGTGATTAGAACTTTAAAAATTAGAAGGAAAAAAAAGAGGTGGTACCCATTCAGAATAAAGCACTTAGAGTGCGTTGGGGGTAGAGAGCAGTTTTTTAGAGGCATGCTCCATTACGAGTGGTTACTCTTCCTAGGTGCACAGTGCTGGTCAATAGTCTGGAGACTCGAGTTCAAATATGGCCTCAGATATTTACTAGCTGTGTGACTGTGGACAAGTTACTTAAGCCTGTTTGCCTCAGTTTCCTCATCAGTAAAATGATCTGGAGCAGCAAATGGCAAACTGTTCCTTGCCAAGAAAACCACCAAAGAGGGTCACAGAAAGTTGGACATGACCTAAATAACACAACAATTCTTTCTCTAGTCTTGTCTGTTTGTGTCATTTTTTTGCCACTCAGTCCCAAGCCATGGAGAAAACAGAATCACTCTAGAGAAAACAGAAGGTGTCCAAATGCAGAGTGTAACTCAGAAAGTTGGTTAAACATGGAACTTAAAATGATTTTCAGGATACCACTAGGTGGAAGCATATCTCAGTAAAGAACTAAGATTTATGAGCGACAAGTCTAGGGTTCTTAATGTTCATAGTCTGAGCTGACAAATACCCAAACTCTGCATTACTGTCCACTTAAATCACTCTTTTTGAATTAATACGCTTTGGTCCTCTTTAAACTCTGAGATGGACCTAGACTAGGTTAACTATATTTCTTTTTCATGATAGTCATTTAGAGTTAATTGGCCCCAGAAAGGTCATATGAGCATAGGATTTGAAACTGTAGGCAGGGGAGAACACATGAATGGGGGAGCAAGTCTTAAATAGGTAAGCTATGTTATATCATTAGAAGTAACCAAGGCACTCTGAATGAACCCAGAGCAGAGCTGCTCTCTCTTCCCCACCATCATGTTGCCTCTGCTCTGTCCACTGTCCCCATCTCCTGGGTACCAGAAACTGGACTTCACCAGAACTCCAGACCTTGAATTCTGATGGGGAGGCCTTTCACATTACCTTGTCTATTAGGAGTCTCTACTTCCTTCCTTCCCCCTTCCAGCTCTTATGTATTGTCTCCCCATTTGAATGTAAGCTTCTTGGGGACAAGGGCTGTCTTGCTCACTTACATCTGTCTTCCCTCTGCTTAGCATAGTGCCAAGTATATACGAGCTCTTAACCAAATGATTTATCTCTCTCTCCTCCTTCCTACCCTCTAACCTAGTTCCTGTACTTGATGTTACTCAATGATATTCTGACATATCCTCTCTGCCTCAACAACACTGGAATCCTTTGCCTTCCATCCTCCCTTTGTAAACACCTGGCCTTAGTGTAAAGATCTTTGGTATTAAATAGAGCCACAGATCAATCACAAGGATTGACTTAGTGAGAAGACAATGCTCTTCAATCCAATTCTTTTAAAAAATAAAGTTTTTTAAGGTGTCATCAACACATCAATGTCTAGTTGCTTAGTCAAATGGCAATACTGAATCCAGGCTTGCTCCATATGTTTGCATGCTCTTTCAGTATAGTCTTAGTTCAAGCCTATTCAGTTTATTTGGCTTTATTTGTACTGGTTACCACAGCTGTTGAATATATTATATGAGAAACTTATTTAATAAGTCCTCTGGAATTTAAGGTTCAACACTGAGACATCCAGTTGGATGAAAGGGGACAGAAATACAGGATTTCTTCCATCAATTAATAAATAAAAGTAATAGTGAAATTTTCATGAACATTTTTGGGGTCTTTCAGTTGAAAAGCAATAACTAGCCTTTTTCTACCTTCTCTTTTTGCTGGTTGGGAGAATGAAATGTTCCTTGGCCTTATTGCTTTAATCTCTAAAAGGAAAATTGCCACCTGGTCAAAAATGAAAACAATGAACACATTTGAATTTATAAGGCACTAAATCCAAACAACAGGCAGCTTGGCCTAGAAGACAGAGAGCTCAGCTGACAGAAGGTTCAGGGCCTGCTCCCAACACATACTGGCTTGTGTGACTTTGGGCAAGTCACTTACCTTCTAAGTATACTAGGCACCTCCCTAAGTAAAATAAAAAATGGTAGCTAAGTTACTTATTAGAAAAGGAAGTTTCTTCAGTAGGAAATTTCCCTGAATCAATTAAATCAGCTAAAAAAAATTAAACAAATATCTTTGGGTCCAGTAGAAATGAAATTAAGAACAAGGACTTGACCAAGAATAAAAGAATTAGAGCTTACGAACATAAATCTCAGTGAATGGGTCTTTAAATACTGTTCTGAGAGGAGGCCAGACTGACTCATCATTAACCTTGACAATTGCTGATAGAGGCTAAAGGAGAATTGGTGGCCTCTAAGAAGGAAGGATTTCATGGCTGCTCTGGATGGATATCCAAGTTACTCTGGATCACATAAAGTTCTTAGTGAGTGTTGCCTGTCCTGAATCCATCATATTACAGGACAATTCTAGTTGAAATATGTACTTTATGGGGAATAAAGTCCACATGTGTTCAAACCGAGGAATAATATATGGGTTCTTCCTAGATACCCAGAGCAATTCTGAATGATTTGTTCCAGGTCAAAGCAGACCTACTACTCGCTTGGAGATCCACAGTAGACTATTTATGTGGGCTCCCTCAAGGGGCTGGGATGATCTACTGGAGAAGTTGAGGAAGATGGGGAAATAATGTCTAGTCAGGACCCCAAATGTTCTCCAAATCAATGAGAAACCCTGAAAAGGACACCTGGAAACAGCTCATCCTCCCACATGCCAGCATCTGGCCTCGTTAAAGAGTAGAGCAGATTCCTTGCTCAACCATAGGGTTCCCAAGCCCAAAAGGGAGCTATGATAATCTCCAGTGCAAAAAAACCAGTGCCCAACAAAATACATTCTGGAAATCAAGCCCTCCTAAACACTCTTAGCATTTCACTGAGGCTGAATGAGTGTCAGAATACATGGTTTTCTGAATGTCTCTGCAGACTCCATATAGTTGATATATAGTCCTTTCGGTCACCATGTACACTTCAGAACTAGGTGAATAGCCCAGCCTCAAGCAGCTGACAGTCATCCTGAGAAAGGAGAGAAAAGGAAAGGAAGATCAGAGGAACCAAATAATTCAATGTGTTCATGGGTTTTGATCACTGATCTCTGGACCCTTGGTGCTCTAAATTCAGTTGAAAAAGGGTTCTGAGATCATCCCACCCTTCAGACATCAGCATAATGGGGCTGCGGGAACAACAGCAATTTGCTCAGCATTTTCTCCAGTTCAATATTAAATCCCTCTCATCCTGAGGGCTACTAGCCTTAGCAGGCTGAGCTGGAATTCTGCCCTGTTAAGACCAGTCAAATTCTCCTCGATTCAGAAGTCATGATGAAATCTAGTCAAGGCACCTTCCCTATCTGTGCCATCTGAGGATGTATTGCTGAAGAAAAGAAATATTCCCATTATTAAAATAAGAAAAGACTTTTATGCTTTCCAGTTGCTATAACCATAAGCTCTTACTTAGAAATAAAGTTTAATCTAAAGTACAGCTCTTTAAAAAAAAATTCAATGTTCTTCTCCCACTCTTTCTAGAGTTTTTTTTATTTTTCCAAGCAAATTCCCAAGAAACCACACAATCCTCAACCTGCCACCCTCAGGAATCCTTCTTGGTCAGTTCAGCCTTGATCTTGCACCTTAGGAGGGCTGCAGTTGAACCACTACAGGCAGCCAAGATGAAGAATGAGAGGCAGGCCAAGTAGACAGAGAAGGGGCTATGCCGCTGCAGAAAGATATCCTGTCGTCCTTGGTAATCCAGAAGAATGGCCTCAAGTTGGGAGAGGGTGCAGACCGACAGAAAGGCATGGAAGATCTGGTGCCCATGACCCACAATATCACAGGAGCCTGGGAAATATTTCTCTGGGACTGGACAGGAGAAGAAATAGGCACTGACCAGAAAAAAGAAAATCTGTAGGGTGTGGTACCAGGCAGCCTGCTCCTGACAGCCGGACAGGTGGCACAGTGCCACTCTGTGGGCCACGGGACTGATGTCCAGAATGAAGGCCAGCCCTGCCGGGACCACCTGACAGATCTTCCTCATGACTGGGTAAGGCCTCCGGTAGCGGTACTTGGCATAGCAGCAACCAGCACAAGACAACCAGCCGCAGAAGGCAGCGCCGGCAGGAAGAAGAGCCAGAACCGCTCATACCAGGCTGGATCAGAGCTATAGAAGAAGTGAGCCAGGGCACTGCCATACTGGTAGACGCTCACCCCCACATAATCCACAAAGTAGAAGGTGTAGTGGGACAGCTCTGATTTGGACTGCAGCAGGTGGGCCAGGAGGCTGCAGGTGAGGTACGTGATAGAGGACAAGATGAAGAGGAGCAGGGGCAGGGAATGGGCCGAGGTCCACGGCAGGGCTTCTGCCTCGGCAAAGGCTTGGAATCTCAGGAGGACAGCCAGGGCTGCCAGCAAGTGGGTCCACACATTGACCACCTCGTTGTGTTTCTGAAAGAGGCTGAGGAAATAGTAACGCCACTCGTGGCCTGTGGGGCGGTAGCCAGTGTGGATGTAGGGCTCCCGGAAGAGCTGGGGCACATCAGTTTCTGGGACGGTGCAAGGCATCTTGGGAAGGCCATCCTCCAGGAGCTTAGGCAGACGTCGGAGCTGCTGTCCACTGACGGAGAATGTGCTCAGGCGCTCCAAGATGGCCGTTGTCATGGTTGCCGTAACTAGGGCCTCTCTTATGTAGCAGGCCCAGGACCCAGAAGTCTTTAACCTAGAAGGGAAAAAATAAATCTCTTTTAAATGCAGCCAAAGACTCGTATATAATAGGGAAGAAACTACACATATTCTCTAGTCTAGCAATCAATCATTCAATATTTATTAAGCATCTTCTATGTGCCAGGCACTGTGTTTAGTGCTGGGGATACCAAAAGAGGCAAAATTATGATAACAGCTAACATTTCTATTGTTCAGTCATGTCTGAATCTTTGTGACCCCAAATGGGATTTTGTTGGCAAAGTTATTGGAGCGGTTTGCCACTTCAAGCTTCTCCAGTGGCTTAAGGCAAACAGAGGTTAAGTGACTGAGTGTCTGAGGCTGATTGGAACGCACGTCTTCATGACTCCAGACCTGGTGCTCTATCCACTGTGCCATCTAGCTCCCCAGTTAAGAATTAGAGTCAGAGTTTGAACCCATCTTTTTTGGCTTTAAATGTAGCACTCTGTCCATTATATGACTTCATGTTACAAAAATATAGGATAATCATCCTATTGACATTACTAGTATCAACAATGGCATTCAGTATCACTAATGATCAGTCAATCAATAACTATTTATTAAGTAGCTACTATGTTCAAGAAGTCACTGTTCTCGAGGTATTTGGGATAACCTAAATCACTTTCCAGTGCAAATGTCTCAGGGAGCTTGAAGACTTGATATAAAGAATGGATCAAGGCCCCCAAATAGAGGCAAATTACACATTTAAATTGGTAATAGCATCATCAGTACTTGGTACAGGTTTAGTAAGTAAAATATTTTAATGATCATCTGAAATGGGCAAAAAGGCTATTCTGATTTTAAATAAAAAAAAAGCTTAATGACAAGGGTCTTTCACTATACCTTGATGACTACCAGTTTTAAAAGTACTTCCCACCGTAAGTGACTGAATCTGAACTTATGGCCACACAACTATTATTATCCTTATTTTACAGGTGAAGAAATTGAGGCTCAGAGTAAGCTCCTCAGGTTAAGATTGCAGGCCTACACTCACACAGGAAAGTATAGAATATCACGGCTGGCAGGCACTTTGGTGATCACCTCCTAGTCCAAACTCATTTCTGTATAGTGGAGGAAACAGGGCAGCATCATCAGTAGAAAGAATACTGGAACTAGAAATCAGAAGACCAGGGTTTGAATACCAGCTCCTTGACTTACTACCCATAGACCCTGGGAAAGTGATTTCACTTGTTTAGGCCTCATTTTCCTCATCTGTAAAATGAAAAGATTGGACCAGATGACTTCTGAGTTCCCTTCCAGGTTTCAAACTATGATTTCACACTTAGAAGAAAGGAAAACTGACTCAAAGTCCCAAATAAGATAACGACAGAATCTGAACTAGAAAGCAGGTGTCCTGGTTCCCAATCCAATGCTGTCTCAATTACCCCATGCTTGTTTCCCAGAGACATAGTCTCTAAATCAGCCAGATGAGTACAGTCTGCCATTTGGCAAAATGTTTGGTTGTAACCATCAATAAGAGAGTTAACAGGTAAGGAACTGGATTTTCTGTACAGAATGCTACTATAATGGTTTGAATTTCCCCATTTTAAAGAAGTTCCAAGCTTGATTTATTTATGTGATTGATGGTCTTTTTCCCACAGAACCCCAAATGCTTTACTAGATATCTGACAATTACCCCCTCTCACAACTATGACCTTAGGTCTGTGGTGATGGTCAATAAGGACTTATTAAGCACCTACTACATTCCAGACACTGCTAAGAGCTGGGTTTGCAAAAGTTGCGGAGCAAAACATAGCAAATGTTACATGATTTGTTGATATGGCAGGATAGGGGATGAAGGGTTGGGAGCAAAACATTCGATCTGCCTACTACTTTACCAATGTGCCAGAAAAAAAGATGAAAAAAAAATCTAATTTTGAAGTCAAAGGACCTGAATCCAAATGCCAGCTCTGCCTTTGACTACCAGGGTGACCTTGGGCAAGGCTCTAAGCCTCCTTATTATTTTTTTTAATGTAAAGAGTATTTTATTTTTTCTAGTTACATGTAGAGATAGTTTTCAACATTCATTTTTTTTTGGGGGGGGTTAGCAATGGGGTTAAGTGACTTGCCCAGGGTCACAACAGCTAGTTAAGTGTTATGTGTCTGAGGCCGGATTTGAACTCAGGTCCTTCTGAATCCAGGGCCGGTGCTCTATCCACTGTGCCACCTAGCTGCCCCTCAACATTAATTTTTTAATAAGATTTTGAGTTCCAAATTTTTCCTCCCAACCACCTTTTTCCCCTCCTCAAGAGGGCAATCAATCTGACAAAATTTATTCATGTTAAACATATTTCTACATTAGTCGTGTTGTGAAAGAAGAAACACAACAAAAGGGGTGAAAAACCATGAAAAAAAAAACAAAGAAAGTAAAAATAATATGCTTTGATCTACATTCAGACTCCATCAGTTATTTCTCTGGATGTGGATAGCATTTTCCATCATGAGTTCTTTGGAATTGTCTCAGGTCATTGTATTGCTGAGAAGAGCTAAGTCTATCATAGTTGATCATCCCCCAATGTTGCTGTTACTGTGCACAATATTCTCCTGATTCGGCTCACTTCATTCAGCATCAGTTCATGTAAGTCTTTCCAGGTTTTTCTGAAATCTGCCTGCTCATCATTTCCCCTAAGCCTCTTTAGACTTCATTTTCCTCATCTACAAAAGGAGGATGTTGAACTGGGGCAGGGGTTCTTAAGCTGAGGTTCATGAACTTGTATTTTAAATTACACACACACACACACACACACACACATACACATATGTACGTATGTATGTATACACACACATGATAAATGCTTTCCAAAATAATTTGTTTCCTTTGTAATCCTATGTATTTAATTTTTTGCATCTAAATAGAGTGTTCTGAGAATATCCAGAGGCTCCACCAGACTGCCAAAAGGGTCCAGAAAAGGTTAAGGATCCCTTGACTCAAGGATTTCTAAAGACCCTTTCCAGTTATAAATCTCTGATCTCTGTTCTCACGAGGTTAAAAAAAGAAAAAGTGGATGTGGAGGTTCAAGTGTTGGAAGAGGAAAGAAACTGAGAAATGTACAGGGTTGGTGACAGCAAAAGCAATAGAGAAAAAAGACAGAATTAGGAAGAGAAAGAGTCAAAAATAGCTCCAATTTGGAAAAAAAAGAAATAGGAGCGTCAGCTAACAGAAAAGGGGGCTTGGAATCTGGAACTTCCTAGGAGGGGAATAGTTACAGTAGAGATATTTTTGAATGGACATTTTCCCAACTGTTTTCTGCTGGCAGTTGGTGAACAATAATTGAGGGTCAGGGGAATTAACCCTCTAAGTGGCAGGTGATACAGAGAAGACAAGAGGTAGAATGGTGTCCTGCCCTTTGGAGTTGAGAGGTCCATAAGCCAGAAGGCGTTTCTAGGGACAGCCTTTCTTCAGTAGGGAATAAAGTAATATTTTGTACCCACACAGCACCTTCCTGAAGAGCTAAGAGGCATTATTTCACTAGAGACCTTTATCTATCTACTCTTCTAAGGCATTCAGGGAAGATGTAAGCATCAGCCCCATTTTATAGATGGTAGAAATCCAGACATGCATTGATAATGATAACAGCTATCATTATACAATGCCCGCCATGTACCAAGGCCCTATGCTAAGTGTTTTATAAATATTAACTCATTTGATCCTTACAACCACTCTGGTAGATAGGAGCTATTATTATCCCCATTTTACAGATGAGGAAGCTGAGGCAAGCAGAGGTTAAATGACTTGCCCAAGGTGACACAGCTGTTAAGTGTCCAAAACCAGATTTAGACTCAGGTCTTCCTAACCCCAGGTACAACGTTCTATCTGCTGAATCACCTATTAGCTGCTCCTCCACACTGAGTCAGTGAGGAAACTGGGAGGATGGAGGAAGGGATCCCTGAATGCTCTTAGCCAAAAACCTTCACTATTTCATCAGCATTTGAAGATGAAGTGTTCCTCTTGGCTCTATACACCTCTACAAATCTGCTGAAACACGGAATCGATTAAGTTAAATGACACAGCAAATTATAAATCACATAGGGAATTTCAGAATGTCACAGCCTGTAAGACTCTCTCTAAAAGGAAGATCATAAGATCATGGATGTAGTAGAGCTGGAAAGACCCTTGATTTTACAGAGAAGAAAACTAAAGGCCCAGGACGTTACTCAAGGTCACAAAGTTAATAATCTCTCATCAGAGGTAGGATTTGAATCCAGGTCCTCTGAGCCAGAGTCAGTACTATTTCCTGAGGTACCAGTACTCCCCATTCATCATAATTATCCCTCATTTCTCCTAAAAGTCTTCCCTTCAAGAAGTCTTTTTCATCTTAGAATCATATTTTTATTTCTATTATTTTTAGTTTCCCATTGGACAAGGGAGATAGAACTGAGAATAGAAGAACTGGGGCACTACTTATGGGAAATAATCTCAGATTTCCAGGGAAAAAAAGCCTAGATAAAAAGCTAGAAGTTAAGAAGGTTCTTTCTCTTGAAAAGGGTTCCTCCTCTTTCTAGGATCTCCTTTAAAACGCATACTAGTGACCTCAGCTTCTCTTCTATCACATTATTCAGCAAAACAGACTTGTGGGTAACCTGACACTCCCCAGGGGGATTGCATACAACTCAACAGTCCCTGGAAACAACCACAAATGCCTGGGAACTATGCACGCCATGATGATACCGAGTCTCCTCTGCAGTCTTTAGTTCTCTGGTGCTGAAAAAGACGTGGGTTTCTCTCTGGGCGTCCAGTAGTTTGAGAATTTTTCCCACCTGGCAGGGGTTTTTCTGTACTCTTTCAATGGCTCAATTCACACCCCATTTTCTTCAAGGAGTGGTCACCACTGCTGGAGGATCCAGCTGTCAGCCTTCGTAGCTGAAGCTGGGAAGAAACTGAATTAAGTCTTTGGAGCAGGCCAGTCCCATTTTCATGATGTCAAGGGAGTGAGAAATGCTTCCAGGGAAAGACTTTACAATGATCTACTCCCAGAGCTGGAGGCCTGTGGATATGGA